TCCGCTTTTAACGAAGCGGCTACTACTAAATTTCCACATATAGTGAGCCTTGGTGGCTTGCTATGCCTTTGAAAAAATTACTTTTAACGATATGGTGTAGAATCAGTCACTTTGATCTGTTACAACGCTGAACGAGAAAAGAAAATGGGCGGGATCCATATATTCGAATAACACCTGTTGATCAAGGAGTATAGTGTGCCCCAACCTAAAAGACATTCAGCTATGTCAATCATCATTTTTATTTCTTTATTTTATCTAGTCCTCCCTTTTACGTCTTCTAGACTGCAAAATCAGTCGTATTATAATAGCAAATGATCCTGCTTTATAGGTAGCTAATGATGTTTGGGAGGTATGTCAAAATGCTAAGAAACAAATAAAAATTTGGAAGAACGTTCCTCATTTAATTCTTAAACCCCTGTAAAAACTGCAAATCGATTCACTAAACCGTTAAAAAGTTATTGAAATTTCAAAAAATTGTAATTTTACACGTCATTTTATGGAGATTATTTTATTAACAGAAAAAAAGCTACCAGAAATTTCAAACTTTTATAATAAGTAACTTGAACTCTGGAGAATCACTTTCTTAGCGTAAGGTTATTCAAATTCACCAAATGGTTATCGAGGAAAAAATGAAAAATTAGCTGAAAATCTCGTTTTTACTTGATAATATAATGATAATATTTATAATTGTCTGAAATAAATGCAATTTTAAAGTTTTAATTATTATTTAAACATATTAAAAAGTTTTACGCTCATTATTGAATTGAGATTGAAACTAAATATTTTTTTGTTTCGATGTTGAAATCAAAGCATATTCCCTGCCAAACGTCAGTTAAAAATTTTCCATATTATTCGTTATTTCTTATTTTACTCAAAGTTTTTGGTCAAATTCCAAATTTTCTCTCAAATCGTATACCTTCTTTTAGTATCGGTAATATTTATTTACCTCATGATATGCTGCAAAACCTAATTAATCACGAATTTCTAATTTTATGTACTCTTGTCTCCGATTGTACCTCCCAAACATCCTTAAATAAATAAAAGTAAATTTGACTATGCATTTTTATTTTATTTTAATTGTTTAATTCGACTTCTACTATTTTATTCAAAAGTGAGCATATAAGGCCCCGTCTACACTTTGATTAGTGATTAGACGAGTTCATACATTTTCTGTGAGATTTCACGGGGGGGCAGCTGCCCTCCCCTGCCCCCCTGGGTATGCCCATGTTTGCGCCAGATTTTAGCATGTGTTTGGGCTTTGGTGTTTATGTCTCTATGCTCAATTCGGTTGATTCGAGATGATGGAACAAGCGCACTTTTAGATCCTTTGACTGCAAATCAGTGTAAAAGGCATGATGATAAAATTCGTGAAACCGTTAGAAACTAGCCAACAAACAAATTTCACGTGATAGCTCCAGGTCTTTCATCATACCATTTGCTCAATTATTCGTGTTCGTTTATAGTAAAAAAAAAAGAAGATTGTGGAACCAGGAAGGCATTCTCCATGACGGGAATCGGGAATTTTGAGGATATAGAGCGAACGGAATCGAAAAGGTTGCATGCACAAACAATTTTCTACATTTGGCCTCTTACCGTTCCCGTGAAAAACACTAATCAAAAGTGAAGAGGAAATGGAAAGCTTTTATTGTAACTCATTAATCCTGGCGGATTATATTTCCACTTTTCAACCTGTTTCTTTTGCATATTCGACTAAGTACGGCTTCGTCGGCATTATTTTCCGCGAATGCCTTTTAACTGGATTGCCGGCTCTATTTTTAATTGAAAAGGAAGCCGGCCGGGGCAGGCTTACCTTGCAAAATCCAGTTACGACAGGTAGCTAATTCGATTCATTTTTCTGCTCATCCTGCTTCACATTCAAATCCAATTTCCGACTGAAACGAAACAGATTTCGACGTCTTACGAATGTACATTTGTCGGGCCACATTAACTCCTATCCACGATCGAATTCAACTCGTATTCTTAACACGAATTTTTAAAACAATTATTAAAAGGAAGCGGAAGTAGGCCATTATCCTTTTTATGGGCTTACCTAACAAACGACTAATAAATCTACTAGACTTTTATACGTTCCACGATTAGAAGAAAACTATTGCAATCATAAAGGGTGGCATCAACGTCAAATATTTACCCATGTAGTCCAAGATAATTGAAATGATACTGAACATAAATATTTTTAAATTAAAATTGTGCTAAGAAGAGATTCAGTTAAAATACATCGCTTATGCCGCCATAACTTGAAAATGTAATGTTATACTGTTCCTATGTCCGATGACGTTGCCCCGCCATTTTAGAAATATATTCTTACATTTTTTTTATAACAGTCTAATAAAATAATCCGAAGTGGTCTGTATTCTGCCGAAACTGCCAGACGTGGATCGCGATTTCGCTCTTTTTGGATCTCATCAGCTCGTCGCAGGCAGCTCCTACAGAACACAGACTAACTTTTACCTGCTGTCTTAACAATGCGTTTTAGAAAATACCACAAATGGCGCAGTAAACGCCATCTGTAGCGATCCTCGTCTGGCAGTTTCGACTGAATACAGACCACTTCGGATTATTTTATTCGATTATGGTAATGTGCCTATCACGTTGAGGTAAGCTACGTCGGGATTCGTTTTCAGCAAGTAGATATCCAGACAAGTGGACCTTGTTGGAGCATACGTAATCCTAAAATCTAGCATCGTGCTACAGATGGCGTTTACTGCACCATTTGTGGTATTTTCTAAAACATAGTCTAACCTTATCCTAACCTAACCCAAAAATGACTTATTTTTGATAAATTGTACTACTGCGCCAATTTTCTTCTCGTTGATAACGAATTTAAGAAAACAACACACTAGAACACAACACTAGCTCAGTTCAAAGCAACATATCTTTTTTATTATAAATGATAGGGGTAGGTTACTAGAATTCCTATTCTTGCTGTTCAAAGGCTCAGTAGCAGTAGGACTTGCCATCTATCAGCGTTTTAACTGCATGAATGTAATCATATTTTGTAGGACGTCATACGAATGCAGTTGACATAACCTAAAAATCTTTTGGACAAGGTCTAGGCAGTAAATGATCGACATATCTTACAAACCTCAAATTGAAATGTGTTCATGCTTACACGTATCCCGGCTAGATCTAATAAACGGATTTTGTGGAGCGCCGAAATTAAATCCCATGCTTTCGATGTTTTTTCCTGTACATAGAGGTTATAGCGCGTCCCAGCTCGGTTTAATACAAATTAGCAATTCACTACTCGTTCTCGATGTTTCTAATTAATTGTTTATCGATTATGGAATTTATTATTGCATTACTTCTTTTAATCACCAAAACAGTACAATTCCAGTTCATAATACTAAACGATCCACTAATGAATAATTTCAATTTGCAAATTGTATTATTTCAATTTGAATATTTTAAAAGTCTTTTCCAGCATGTGATTTTTAGTGAGTAAAACATCGAAACATCAAAGGCTCATTGTTTTCATGTAATAATAGTCTCAGTGACTTTCTTTTACATCATATAATATTTAAACAAAAAAAAAATAATAATAGAAAATGCTGAGCGCGTTGAATTGATGATCCATGAAGAGAGAATGAAAAGTGTACGGCCATCATGTGTGAAGGAATATTCTTTTTAAAAGTTTCTTTAAATGAAACCTTCGTAACAATGATTCTGCATCCTCTCTCGTAGATATGCATCCATGCTTTGATCTCGTAAAAACGGATTAAACAGGAAGATCGTATTAAATCGTGGAGTAGGAGCTTGCGAGCTTAGGCTCGTAGATGAAACAGGAAATGGTTCGATCTTTGTTCGGGCTTACATTTGATGTTGCTACTCCACCAGCTAATACCTATCCTAACAATACCAGATTTGTAAAGCATAAAATGTTTAGTATTCACTTTTATTTCTTATTTTCGAAAGAAGATTAGGTGGTGTAAATACGATAAAATGTTTGCTATGACATAGGCACACGCCGTAGTGTTTTTAGAAAAAATCTTGAAAGTTCCTTACCCAGTTGTTTACTTTCGAGTACATGCTTCTAACATCGCTAAATTTATTTTTAGCAACTCTGTTTAGTTTTATTGTCTCCTCAAGATCAATAAAATAAATCCTGAATACAGTGCATCCTCATTAAATTTCAGGTTATCTGTAGTGGGTAAATTTAATTCACTAATACATTACGAAATTCAAGATTGTATCGAAATCCTGAATGTTCCTTAATTCGCGCATCTGTATCTTTAGATACATGCTGTTTACTTTGTTAAAATTATTCTTAATGTTTTTCCAGTGTTTAGTTTCATTGTACTCCCAAATTCCCCATCCCTGCTATCAAAGGTTAAAAGCATTGGTCCTTAACTTCACAATTTTTTGCCATCATTAGGTGGATTGTGCATCATCATCATAAGACTGGTTGGACGCACACCTCCACTCAATTGGTTGGACACTCCACTATTATCCCTATCCTGAGCTAATCTTCGCATTTCCCTAAAACTGCAACCTGTTTTCTTCCTGTTTCTCCTTCTTATATGTCTCTGACTAGCCCTTTGTGCCTGAGAATGTGTCCTACCAACTTATCTCGCCTATGTCTTGTTGACTCATAGAATCCTCTGCTATTCTCCTATTCTCTCTAATATCTTTTCATTTCTGGCCTTCTCTATCTACGATATCCTCATCATTCGCCTGCAACACTACATTTCGAACGCTTCTAAATTTTTCTTCTTCAAGTTTCGCAATCGTACAGCACCGCGCTCCAAACATACACCTTTCTCAAATTTCTAAATAATCCGTTCGAGAGCATAGAAGTGATTTCTTTTTATTGTACGCGACTCGATCCTTCGCGATCATCTGCTACTCCTTCCATCCTTAGCTGACTTCCTAAATACCGAAAATCAGTCAGTTCTTCTAATTTTTGTTTCGCTACTTTTTCTTCCCTTTTGTTTTGCTTTTATTTATTTTCATACAATACTTTCTCTCTATCTATCTGTAACTCCTCCTTGCTAGTACATCTGCAAACTTTTTCGTCCTTTTCGTCGCGGGTAGATTGTGCGTAAAATGTAAAAATATTATTAATGTGATTGAAGATCCACAGATCAGAGAACAACAGTCCATTTTCTAATTGACGCACGTACGACTTGAACAAAATCGTCAAAACACTAGCTTATTTTCTGACGTGGCAGTACGAAAATAGATCCGATTTTCACAAACACCACAACGTAAATACATTCGCTGTTGGTCACTGTCATTTCGGCTTTATTTACGACGAATTTTCGAGCGATCTATGACGCGAACACACACCCATTTCAATCCCACCTCCTTCCACAGATAGCGCATCTTAAAAACTTGTCCCCTTCACTTCAGTAAACAGTCAGTTTTGCCATCCCGATATTTATTAATCGATATATCATACGGAACACTTGCCTTCCGAAAAGAGATTAACAGCATCATGTCTTGTGTGTTGTACTTGATGGTGACAGTGGTTTTTCTTGCAGTGATCACGAGAGTTCGGGGTTACTCATTCAAAACATGCGATTTAGAGGAGTGGTCCAGCTGTTCGAAGCCGCTCTCAGGAATAATGGATTCTGGCTTGACGTACTTCTCCAGCAAACCCGATCTGGACATGTTATGCCCGTAAGTATCTATCGCTATACTAAATGTACTAAGCTGCAGCTTCTTTGACGCGACAAAAACGTTGTGCTGCCTGCGACACACATCCAGTCCAGTAACATCCTCATATTTCCTTGTGTGACATGAGACCTTGCAAAAAATCCTTCAAGAATTTGCGTATTGCACGACCCGAATTAATGTTGGCTAGATGCCAAAATCGTTCACTCTGTTTAACTGCTGCTTATCTTGTCTTTGAATCCATGTCTCGTCTACACCTGCACCAACTCTAATAATTGTTTTATTTTCAAAACAAATTGGTAGCTGACTGATAAGTATGGTAAAAAAGAACCATTATCGACGTCAGTTTTTGGCAAATGTCTTTACTGCTGCAACGGGAACAATTGGGAAGAGCGTTTATTTTTTGAATTCAGTTAGTTAAAAATTCGTTCCAAAATAACATGATGGAACTCATTATTTTCGCTTAGCAGTTGGTTGCTCGAACATAAATTCCGATCAATGTTCAAAATTACCCGAGCTTCTCTCTCACTATTTCGTCGAAGATTTAGGAAATTTTATTAAGGAATACGAGAATTGCATAGAAAATTAGGCGACGGTTTTACTCTGAACTTTATTGATTTCTCACTTTTGCTTCGAACGCCGCCAACCCTCGTCCCCCGATAAGTTTTATTCTCAATTTACAAACTGACTCCGCTTCACCTAAATAATTCCTTAGCAATCTAAAAACTACGATAGGGATTTGTGATATCTCATTTTCGATGACAACCCTAGCAAATTTCCGGAAATGGATATCATAATTTTGGACAAGGATGCAAAAATTTTGTACGACCTTAAAATGGCTCGATCAGCATTTCAGGTCCGTTTAATGGTCTCATCCTTATCATGAACTTGAAGTAATGCGAATGTACGTAACGCTTTTGGATGCAGTCCCATTTGAATAAGTTCCAACAGCTTGTACAAATGATTGCGATGAAGACTATATTTAATTACCACATGCATAAAACCCCGGTCTAATTTATTCGCTTGGTGCGTAACAAATTTTTTAAACTGACGATATACTTGATGGAAAATAACCAAAAAGAACAACATAAATCCGTGTAATTTTTAATGCAATAAAATCAACACAAATTAAATAGGTAGTAATTCAAAATACAGGAACTCATGGGTCATTTCTAGGACAACTGGTGCAATTTTAAACGAAAAAAAAAAAAAAAAACAAAACGAAGACAAGCAGTGCATTGCACGAAATGGCAAAATATGAATTTTATTTATTTCCGACTTTGAGGTTAAAAACCAAGAGAAAAAAGAGAAATAATGTTCGCAATGAGAACGCGTTGGAGGGCTCTGGACCTCCTGTTCAACGAAACGGGGATGTAATACGTCATCATAATCCCGTCAGTCTTCCGGAAGATGGAATTTCATCAACAAAGCGTCACGTAACGTCCCAATTAGCAACAGAACATGCATCATGCATCTTGTTGACTGATATTAAAAGTAGGTACAGGGCGGCTTTAAACAAGCAAATCACATATTATGTGGATTGTACATACATGTTCAAAAATTCGACACCACCATACTTCCCATGCATATTTAGCGTAAAATAAAAGTCTAAAATTAATTATCATCAAGAACAGTAGTCTAAATAAAATGAATATTTAGTGAAATAATCATGAAAAGATGGAGATATGAGCCCGTTACTAACAAAACAGTTTTAACTTTGTGATTTTATTCGATACAAATGGAAATGAATCCACAGACAACAAAAAATGTAAAAAAAATCTTCGCTGTTAATTTTAATGAAACTTGAAAACGGAACCAACACATAGTAGAAAATTGAACATTGGAGAGAATGCTTTAGTTATGAATTGGATTATTAACGACTAAAGCTAAGTTAATACCAATTTTTTATGCTGCCCATTAAAAATGAGTTTTCAGGTTAGGTTCGGTTAAGTTAAGTTAGGTTATATAAAATATATCAATTTTTAATGTTGCACCCTAAAAATGAGTACCTATTGAGGTTAGTAGGTGTAGTACACAGGCAAATGTGCAAAACAAAGAAAATGTATCTGTAGAGGGACATTACAATAGAACACCCCGTGGATTAATTATATGCAGATGGGATGAGATTCGTGTGCATTAGCGTGGATATCAGCGGGTATGCCGCTAAAAACCGTCAACAGAGCCCTGTCACGAGAGAGTTTGGTATATGCGAGTGGCCACGCGGAAGTGTATGAAAGAGAGGGTGCGAGCGAGAAGGGGCGAGATCATCGGGCCGATTTCAATTATCGGATTTCCCGATGCCCATTATTGTGAAAGCCAAATCAACGATACGAGCAAATTATTTGCTTCGGTCCGGTTGGAGTTGTCACCCAAATTGCCGGTTTAGGCGTCATGGACGCCAGCTAGCCCTGTGCGTAGTTGTAGTCCACGTTCACGTTTCTGTCGCGTTGTCGTTGCCGCAATTTTGTCCAAGTAAATAATTTAAACGCTAATGAATACGTTGAAACGGTTTGTGACAGGATTTAGAGATAATAATCACGTCGCCGTCATCCTGATACAAAAACATTTATATAATGTCGATGTGCATACGTCAAAACGCCAAATTGCGGCAATTTTCGACAGAAATATAATCGAACGTAAAAATAAAACTACTTCGAATAAACGCTATTTTCATTAAATCAGTGGAGCTCTTCCTTCTTAATAAAAATGACGCCAAATTTGTCGTCCAAATCGTCCATCATAATATTTACTCAAATATGTGACCTGTTGACGATCGACGATGTTTTTATTATTTTGGCAGAAGAATGTGTTTATATATATTTTTTTTGTGTCAATAAACAAAAAAGCATTTCAATAAAGGGGAAAATTGACTCACCGGTGTAGATCTAAATGCGTATTAAGTAAATCGTTGGCAGATCCAAACAGCTTACCTGTAACAAAACAAAAAAGTAAAGTGGTAAATATTACTCTTAATTGATCATTAAGGTACTTATTATATTGTGTTTAGGAATACGGTAGGAAAAGACAACGCGAATTATGAAGACTACAGACAAAGAGTCTAATTTCTATATATATTAGTTGTTAATAATGCATATACTACTTTTCATTTCGTTGTCATATTTGACATATAAAAGTAAGTTAATGGATTTTTAATGTGTCAAGCAGTGTACAGTGGCGACCTTGAATTCATGGCGATCTCAACTATTTTATGAAAATTTCTGAGATTATTGTACATTATCTTGGCAGCACCCCAATAGTTGGAGCCAAGCTTTTACTTAATAGTTATGATGACACCCTATAACAGATCATGGCGGCGTTAATAGTGTTCAACGTTTCGTCTCCTATCACAAAAGAAAATCTTCAGGAACTTCACGTTTCGTGGCCTGTTCCAAAGGACATCTTTAGAAACTTTACGATTTATCAATGTAGCACCAGCGTTGGAAATTTTTGGAGCATCGACAATGTGAATTTCCTAAAGATCTCCAACGCTGGTGCTGAATTGTTAACGTCGTTGGAGATTCTGCATCGACAACGTAAAGTTCCTAAAGATCTGCAACACTGGTGCTGAATTGTCAATAACGTCTTTGGAGATCCTGCATCGACAACGTTAAGTTCCTTAAGATGTCCTTTATGAAGACGCGGTTAGAATTCGGAAATCAATTTTCTTCAGATGACAGCTGTGAAAGCCTTAATCAAATTCAACTTGATCTTGAAAAAAGAGTGGTCTACAAACGTCAAATTCTTCTCAATCGAAAAGGCTGTCAGCAAATTTTACACGCATAATAATATAGAATCGAATCTATAATAAGATTATAGAATTCCAATAAATGGTTTAGTGACAAAAAACTCAATACTTGGCGAAACAGTTTTATTGGCCTTATAGAAGTTGAAAGAACGTGTCATTCGATCGGAAAATATTAAAGTTAAAAGAGTTAACCGTCACAATTGTGGTTTTATTGAACGTCAAAAAGCCGCAAAATAATGGAAATTGATGCCTTTCGGTGCGACGTTGTTTACTACCGGCTTTAGTTTGAAATAAACCGCGGCGCGAATCGAAAAGCGAGCTTATGCCCGGTGAAAAATATTTCGCAAGAGAAACTTAATGTGCTGCCAAATGCGCGACAGTTTACCTATTTTTCCGGTGAAAATAAACAGAAATAACCAACGCTACCGAAAAGAAGTATCATCCCAAATAAAACGACTCACCCCTAAGTGATTTATCATTTTGGCACACAACAGCAAAAATGTAAAATTGTTAATATTAAATTTTATCACAACACCCCATCTACGTATAGAAAGTCATGAAATAAAACGTGATCGGCATCTGTATTATTGGTTGTCTTTTGGGTGATTAATTGTGTAAGATACACATGTTTAACCCATATTTGTCGAGTCTATCTGTGGGTAAATTATGACCTTATCGAAAGCTCTAGCTGTCTCATGTGACCATCATGTCCGTATATTCTGTGAGCCAATACGTTCCATTACGTACAATTAACCTGTCTACGTAGCAGCTGTTGCGAAGGTCACGAATAGGTATATGTGTTTCGACAGTTGACGCTTGCGGTAACGAAAGACGATAAGCTGGCGCGCCAACAGTTCTCAACCATTGACGGCTCGTTAACTGAGGTATTGTTTATGGATTCTTTTTACATCCCCTACGTTGTAGTGCTATCACGAAATGCACTGCACAGTGACTTTTAAATGTTCCGGAATACTGATTAGTGCATAATATATGAAAATTAATGTTAATTAAACACTTCTCAGAAAGGATCCAATGTCATCCAATGCATCGAAGTAATTTTGAAGAACAACACCCTGTGTACTCTTACATTAATTACGTCGTCCCCAGTGGAGTCATCTTCGTGTTTCATAAAAGCAACGGTAGATGGGTACAATTTTTTATCGCGGTCGTTAAAAAGGCAATGTTTGTTATAAAAAGAATGCAGACATTAAATTAAAAGGAAAAGTACGATAAATTCGTTATTAAATGCCATTTATGCAAA